CTTTATTTCCAAAGTTCAACTAAGTAAAACCAGTGCTATAGAAATTTAAGCTTTAAAACAAGGACATAAAGATGTAATGTGTTGGTTCTAAATATAGTTTTAACACCCGGATCCTGTTAATGCGACAGACGGATAACATTAGACTGCGTTTAGTGATTGATGGAGCACAGAATGTATTCGAACCTGGTACCCGTCAACGGGCTGTCTGGGCGTGACTTTATGCAGGTATAAGTGGAGATGGATGTATTATCTATGTGACTAACTTTTATTTATTATTTATCTTAAATATAACCTACTTACTACACTTTTTGTGATCCACAAATTGTTTTGTTCTCAGTCTGGGTGTTCTTTGTGTCCGTTTCATGTATGTTTGTAAAGTCCCCCGCGACACAGGACATATTCCTTATATATAAAAAAAATTGCAGTCACCAATCCTAAGTTGTTAATCCGGTATGTCTGTACTGTGATAGGAAAATTTATTTATTACTTTTGAATTTACACGCGTTATATAAATCGTTTTTTTAAATATCCAAATTCTCGTTTTGTAATCAACGGAAATCGTCTTGCTATCCAACGGAAATCGTTTGCTAGATCGTTGCAACAGATACAACACATCTAATCAGGGCCTCAATTCTGCTTTTTTTGTGTTCACGCCAAGCCAGTGTCATACTTTTAATATATTTTCAAATTATAAGGAAATGATTTATTTATTTTTCCAAATATAGCAATCTTTTTGATATCACCACTGATAAGCCAGTGCCATTCCATCGCCACTGTAAAGACACGTTACGACACGAGTTAGTGTAGACTACCGAGATTTATACCGATGACAATGGCCACTCGATGGCATCTCAATAGCGTGTCAGTGGTATGACACTGGCTTGACGTGAACATAAAATAGCAGAATTGAGGCCCAGGTTCTTCATCACTATCATTTTCAAGTAACACTGCGAAGAGTTTTCGTTACCAAAAGTAGGTAGGTAGGTAAATGTAAACAAAAGACCACAGAACGTCGTTTAGGCCTAATTGTATGAAAACAGACAGTTTATGATTGCAGATGCATAAGTTTGAAAATAAGTATAGTTAGAAATTCTAATCAATAATGAATATTTTCACTTCCGATGCTTTATAATGTATTTAAACACGTCTAAACTGCTGCGTGTGATGACGGATTAAAAATACAGAGTGTCACCACCCCTATTCATCCCGTGGGTGTCGTAAGAGCCGACTAAGTGAGAAAACTACGCAGCACAACAACACTGCAAAGAGAAGGAAATCTTGAAACAAACCCTATACCAACACGTCTGGCCAGCTTGATATAGTAGGCCAACAAAACCTCCATTGCAAGGAGAAGCCTATGTCCAGCAGTGGACTGTTAAGGGCTGTTGATGATGATGATTAATGAAACTGCTAACACCTATTTCATTCGCTCGTCTGAAACCAAAATAATAGATACAGTAAAAAGATGCGTAAAATTAGAATCATTTCTATTAAACACGACTATTCCTCATAGTATACATTCACATGAGTAAGTTCAAAGACAAAACAAAACATCAAAGTATTACAAATCCACACGGAGCTAATTAATGTTTACTTAGGGCTCCAGCGCAATAAGAAGAAATGCACACTCGAAATAGATCGCCGCTTCCTTCCCCTGACCTCATAATATCCAAATTCTCATTTCTCATACAGGAAACTTACCGAGCATGAATTCACATTGATTTAATCATTAAAATACATAGGATATGCATACAAAATAGCCAACAATAATATCTACTGCAGTGAGTTATCAAATCGCCTAATGCTTGCAGCTCCTCGCATGCGGCCTCACCATCTCATAACTAGAACTTTCTGCCAACCACTGTCAAGAACTAATTTAAAACTAAACTGTTCTTTGGTATGTGCATGTCGCGATTATAATATCCTTAATGGTCAAATTTGACCAACTGCATATTTACCACAATCCCTTTATTCACTTTAAGAATATAATACTGAAATCGTTTGCTTTTTTCTGTGTGTAATAATTTTTGTTAATTTTTATTCACTTGAATACTAATCTAGCTACTATTTGAATGTGTGTCTCTCTAGTCTAGGAAGACGATTTCGAACAATTTTGGAAATTTTATGAAATAAAGAAAGTTTGAGTTAGTGATGTACTATGCATGCCTTTAACTGGTCTAATACTCGTATAAGAACTATCCTTTATATTGAACTGAGATTGAGACTGCAGGGATGGCTGGTGGCGGCGTGGCGACCGTTTAAACTTTAAACGGTCGCCACGCCGCATCCCGCTGCGCTGAGTGTTGTGGGTTCGATCCCTCATGGGACACCACTTTGTGTGATCCACTAATTTTTGTTCTAAGTCTGGGTGTTTTTTGTGTCCGTTTCATGTGCAGCAGTGGACTACTGACTGTGATGATGATGATGTGATTGAATGAAGGTGTTTACGACATAATAATGGAATAACTCCTTTCAATATACTACTCGGAAATTCCTTGACTTTAGCACATGTTAATAAAGCGATAAACACTGTTTTATTTTCGCAATAAAAGGTGTTTCAAGAATAACAACATTAAGGTCTGTATTGCTTCTTTAGAGTACCGTATATATCCATGAAAACGAAACCCTTTTACAAGAACTTATGTAACAAACGGCATTAGCGTAATGGTCACAGCTTCTAACTTTATTTTTAGGTATAACGGGTTCAAATGCCACCTGGTCTGCTCCTGATTTGAACCCAAAACTAACAATTGACCGATATAATATTAATGTGTAACCCACGTTATTGACAGACTTTTACTAAAAAAATAAATGAATCACATTTCTTTCACTTGTCATCTACATCAAAAATCTGATGATGATGACAAGTTAGAATTACCTATACTTACAACATAATAATTCCTTTTACGCATTTCAAGTTTAAATTGAAGCTATAGCACGTTTATATTATAGTACAGCACGTGTTAAAGAAAAGGCCTATGTCCAGCAGTGGACTATTATAGGCTGTTGATGTGATGTGATGTGTTAGAAGATTTTAGAAAATAGCTAGTTAAAGCCACATACTCACAGGCAATATTGACCTGTCATGACAGGTAAGTGTATAAAATGTCAGTTTAATTAATACTGCCCAATGAAATTAAGATTTAAAAAAATTATGTATAATAGTCGATATTCGTCCACTATATAATTAAAATGCAATGGAAATATTATATAGTACGGAACCATTTCACTCACGTGAACTTGTTCTTGACTAGTAAATGCGTGGGCAGCCTTTATGGAGTTTGAAGGACATGATTTTCTAGACATTCTCTGTAATCTCAAATTACATTTGACATTATGAGACTGAATTTCCAATTCCCTTGTTCAGGCCGTATACAGCCCACTGTGAAGAAATATAGCTAAGATATTATACGTATCTTCATGTGATCCGTATCTTTGCCCTTGAATGTATTAGTTAGGATAACGTTTTTGTTGAAGGTGCAGTTTATGAACAAATAAAGGTAAATTAAAAACAAAAACGAGCAACTAATAGTAGCTACATGTGATGTGTGATATCTGACGTCTCACCTGTCATCACATCAACAGCCTTTATTAGGCCACTACTGCACACAGGCCTCCTATACCATATAAAGGACGTTTTGGCCTATTATACTACGCTGGTCAGACGGGTCAAGTTTTCCTTCTCTTTGCAGTGCTGTTGTCCAGCGTAGTTTGCTCCCTTAGACGGCTCTTACAACACCCACGGGATGAATAGGAGTGGTGACACTCTGTGTTCCTAATATATCACCACACAGATACCTGCTACCTGACTGTCAAATTAAATAGCGCTTTTAATTGTATCTTCTCCAGTTGCAGAAGATACTATTATAAGCACTATTTTAGCCATTTAAGCGCCACTTCGTTGTTACGCATTTCCGTCCCTTTTCAATAAATGGCTCCTACACGTAGCACGAACTCAGAGGAAATATTTTACACAACAAAAACTGTATTTTAACTTGTTTTACTTGAATTATTGACGATATTTTTATGCCTTCTTTGAAGTGAAACACGCAAAAAAGGACTGTAAGTCGTTAAATCAAGCCAATTGACTTCCGTCATGTAAAAAATAAATTGATGAATGCCATCTTAATGTAGTCAGATACATATCAAGGTAAACAGGTAACAATTGTGTGTAATCAACAAGAATAATTGTGTTGCCATCTCAATCTGATAGATATATTTTAAAACCAACTCGGATCTCCTTTACATTTATGACAATAAGGAAGATTTTCGTTTGCAACCGTACCGCAATGTTTAAACATGTATAATATAGGGGTGAAGTATATTTAACATGCTTTTATTAAGTAACTATGTAAGCAAATCTTGGAAGTAAAAAAGATTGTCGTATCAAAATGAAACTTGTCTGTATTTAGTATCAGCTGCCCGCGCAGCTACACCAGCGGCTTTCAAAAGGAATAAATTTTACCCGTTTTTGCAATATTTTCATTGATGCTCTGCTCCTATAGGTCGTGGCGTGATGCTTTTCTTGATAAATGAGATATCCAACAATAACATACATAACTATTAGAACAAAAACATATTATTTTGGTACCTAAGAGATAGAAAAAGACACGGTAAACAGATTCAAAGGGGGGTTAATGAAATGTAAATCATAGCAGGAAAAACATAGACAAGAAAAGCGCAAATCATAACAGAGAGGAAAGAATTGGAGAACGCCTTTGCCACAATTGGGCAAACAGAACGTGTTGTTATTGTCACCGACTTGGCAAAATCGTTAGGTGTCTGTTCGATGTCTAAACAAAAGTTTATTATTATTACATGATCCTGTATGATGATTATGTAATTCCTATGTAGAGATAAAGAGATGAATAGTAGAATTCTTCAGTGCTATCAATCCAGAAATGAACCAGCGATGTTCTTGAAATACTAATGCACTTCCGTCGTTTCACAGATGTAGTCTAAAATCGTTATGATTTAATTTTATTTCTTTTACTTTACAGGGTAGCTACGAACACTCCGCATCTGGTGAGCCTTGGCACCGGCAGACTCAGCACCGCAGTCACTCTCCACCCCATCAAACAAGGTTGGTTCCATTATATTCTTCTAGTATATCCATTTTAAAAAGAATATCGTCACCGCATACGTAAATTTGAGAGGAGCAGAATTTGGCGATAAAACTTAGAATACGTGTTAACGTAGGATGCTGATGAAATGTACAGATTTATCTGTAAATTAATAATAATAACTTGAAACAACTCACACTGAGCCGTCTACTCCTAAACAGAGTTTGTAATAGTACAGGCTTACCATAAGATAACCAGACTGCTGATAAAAATCCTTATATGATTCTAAATACATACATATTATAAATAAATCACACCCAGACACAGACCGAATAATCGTACTCATCACGCAATATTTTTTCTAGGTGGGATTTAAACCCACACCCTCGGGCTTGGCAGTTAGGATCGCTAACCACAAGACCAACAGACCCGTCTCCCTAAATTGTGTGTTTAAAAAAGCAAAATACAAAATCAGTTACACGTGTTTTAAAAATCTGTACCTATGCTGGGATTCAAAACATTTCCCGACTGCACGAATGGCGTAGTGGTTTAAGCGGTCACCTCACCACTTTCTACTACGCTGAGTGTTGTGGGTTCGATCTCCATATGGGACAACACTTTGTGTAATCCAGAATTTGCTGTTGTGAGTCTGGGTGTTCTTTGTGTCCGTTTCATTAATGTATTTAAACACCGTCGCGACACAGGGATTTCGGGAGTTGTCTTTTAAAAAAAATCATAGGTATATTCGTCAGCGTACACATAACGTTATTAAAATTTGACCAAACCTTTCTATAACAATCTGTATAAACAAATTAATAAACAAACAAGTGTGAACATAAATAGTCATTTATTATAAAACCCCTCACGACTACTCTCTATAAATGGAGACAGGATATCCCCATAATCAAACTTGACGAATGGAAATACAAGTTATTTATATCAGGCTTATAATAAACTGTTAGAAAGTCACGTAATATACATCATGTATGTTGATATTTGTATGTATGTATATGTATTATTTATTACTGACTTACATCACACACTTTACTAATCACATGCAATAAAGTTTTGCTATTCATTCTTTGTAAAATAAACCACAAGTTTATTAAAAAAAAAATTGTTAAAAATGCTTCGAGAAACAGACAGTTTCGATCTTGTAGGCTCGATGACGTCATCTCTGTCTGGCACAGGACATAATCTTTGTGCGGCGTTACTTTGGTTTTTATAGTTTTGCATAATTAGTTTCAACGAGTGTTCTTTGTATATATGTAAGGCACTGTAAACCATTCAAAATGGATTGTCCTGATTATCCATCAACATCAGTCGTTTTAACAATACCACCAATAATGTTCTATGGAAAAGTCGTATTACTACACACTTTGTACGGGTTTTTGCATGGTTGATAGCTATATTCGCAAAAAAATACGTGGATCACCATCTTTCTTGCTAATTTTAATTGGGTTCGGCATAATGTGAGTCAGTACGAAAATTTGAATGAGTATTGGTACTAGGGACATCTAATGTACTGACCAGGTGGTTTTAGTCGGTCCGTTTCCGACACACCACCCTACCGCAAACCCCGGTGGGGTGACGGCCCGAGGTTATAATTGATTGGCCAAATAATTGTGTAATGCGTATGATCTTTAATGATTGGGTGTAATTTATATATAATATGTATGTATTTTCAAATAATTTCAGTATGTTTGTAAGTAATCGGTAACATAGCTTGGCTCAATTTTGGATCAGACGATCTCAAATTGTTCTTATATTATTTTAAGAAGTGAAGTATTGGATGTGTACAAAGAACAATCAAGAAAGTAGAATATTCGCTTCAGAATCTTCTTGAGCTGTTATAATCGCTGAATACTAACTTTAGCGTGTCTTACCGTAGTAGTTTAGTTTCTTTGATTTCTACACTCGATCACTGCGCACTTTCGAGAAAAAATTGTCACAGCCAATTCGACGATTTTACAAAAAAAAGTATTGGTGTGAAACAAGCAGACGGATCACCTGATGGTAAGTGACTGCCGCCACCCATAGACTCCTGAAACTCGAGATTCACTAGTGCATTGCCAACCAATGGGTCCCACCACCCAGAATCAGGTTTATGTGTTTACTTCACAACTGTAACGTTATTATAATCACCAGAGTTGTTGCTCAGATAAAACATACGTTACTATAAAATGGAGTACTCGTAAATATAACAGCAAATAACAATTCGCAGCCCTAAATAATTACAGTCTAAAATTACAATGGTCCCAGCTGTTTTAGTCATTACTGCACTTTGAATTGTATTCGAACACCAAATGCTGTATAAGATCATTAAATCTCAGCAAGCAAACTAATACATCTTTAATTTGACTTCTAAGTTTGTATAAATTTTATAAACGATTGAAATTGTATATTTTATTTTTAACAAAATAGACCATGGATTACCAAAGTGGTGGACCCCTTGCGGTCGAAATCGGTTTCCCAGGGGGTCAACATAAAGGAAAACTGTTTTTGGGGGTCGACGTGGTCTAAAAATCGACCCTTATTAATTAACCTAAGTTCTTATTAGAAACTTTCAAGATACTGTATTAGTTGTATTACGTGTACTAACTTGTTATAAGAATTACTAATATTTTAGTAGGCACAATCATTTTTGTACTTTTAAAACGTGCAGTAATGTGGCTATGGGGGTCTGAGGTGTTAGTTCATTTTAGAAAATTGGTCTCTTGCCCAAAATAGTTTGGCAATCTGTGATATAGACATATGTGCCGAAGCTTGACTCTCCCTCAGCCTTCTTCTACTCTCTCTCTTTTTAAGTTATTTATCCATTCTTTCCACCTACGTCTACAACGTTACTTTTATCTGCTTCCAGGTCGAGTGACAATAGGATCGGACCCGACATGCGACATCTACGTGGTAGGCACTGGAGTGGCAAGTATACACTGCCGTGTGGAAAACTCGCACGGTGTTGTCACGTTGTACCCGCTGAGTGGCAGTACACTGCTCGACGGGCTGCCTGTCGAAAAGGCCACCAGGCTCTCGCAAGGTGGGTACATGAATTTGCTAAAAATAATATTAATTTGGTAAATAGAAATTTACAAACACTCACACACACACTATACACTAATTAAAGATTTGGTAATGTTTGTATTTTTGGTCAAGGTGGTTTTGGTGTATTATCACAACAAGTTGGTACTCCCCGAAATATGTTCTTAAGCAAAATAGTATATATGTACATCTTTAATAAATTAATTAAATACTACTCACTACAATTTTTAGTGTTTTCAGTTTGCTTTAGTAAAATTAGATGTACTAGACATTTTCCAAGATTAAAGGACTTAATGACAAAAATCTAAGTCTATATAATTTAAAACATGCTTGTGCCATGTGTATTATATCTGTATTTCTCGCTTTTTAGTAGCTTGGGTAAAATTTATGCCGTACATAAAATTGCTTGAAAACTACTTTAAAGCTTGATTTGCGATCTGTAACCACCTATGTATCACAAAATTAAATAAATATACGAAATGTATGTATGTATAAAAGGTAATTGAATCTCAATTCGTGAAATACTAACTATTAAGTCGTTTCTTGGGTCCTCTGAGGTCGTCATCATCACTTCCCTTTGCCATATACTGAGTACAGTCACATATTTTTCAGAGAGCAAGTTGACATTATGATTAAAAATGGGAATAACTATTTAACTAAATAGATCTACTGATAGAAATACTATCGATGATGGAAAGATAATTACAAATTTACTTCATTTAACCATGAGAAAAATATAATTTTTATCCGTGAGTCACAGTACAGATTTTTGATTCATGTGTTTTCTGAAGAATCTTTTACTCTGTCAGTCTTTTTCAATACTACATTGTATCTTCACACCGTTAAAAGCATACTCACACCTAAAAGGCCGGCAACGCACACATGACTCTTCTGTTGCTTGTCAATGGGCGACGGTAGTCATTTACCCTCAGGTGATCCCCGCTCCATATGTAATAAAAAAGTAGAAAACATCACATTTCAGATTTTATAATTTTCAATGGCAATTGTTGATGCCATCGATGTTATCTTGGTGTACAGCATAAAAGAATCAATAGGTGGAATCAATCCCAAAGAAAGATTAAGGATAATTCTGTCTATACAGCCCCCCTCATCGATCCTGACTTGTGACTTTTGAGTTGCAGGTGTCCATGGACGGCGGTAGTCACTTACCATCAGGTGACCCGTCGGCTCATTTGACCATAAAAATAGTTAAGAGTAGTAAATATATTATAAAACCATGGTATGTCTAAAACCACTCTTCACGGGTTTCAGGGAGTATGCTAACGATTGGACGGTCGAACTATCTTCGGTTCAATCATCCTGCAGAAGCCAAGCTTATGAAGTCTGTTCTTCCCTCAGCTCACGTATCAATGGCGCCTGTCCAGTTCACTCCCAACGACCAGTGTGTCGCTACAGGTATACTTATAATGATATCTTTGAGTCTGGACTGAAATTCTACCTCAAACATTGATATTACATAAAATATAGGAATTTTTAGTTATTATTATTTATTATTTTGACGATAGAGCTTTTTTTTAATACTGAGTCTTCTTCGAATAAGATTTTTTTTAACCACCTTCAAACCAAACTGCCGAGTCCTTTACCGATCAATAAAGCTTTAGTTTGTCGAAGACTACACGGATAGCGTAGTGGTCACCTCGTCGTTTCCTACTGCGCTGAGTGTTGTGGGTTCGATCCCCACATGAAACAACACTTTTTGTGATCCACTGATTGTGATAAGCAATTCTTTCGTTGGCTTTTCAAAGAGAACCTCACTGGCTTAAACCCCTATCCTTCTAATTCTGGAGGGCAAAGGCTGGCAATGCACTTGTGACTCTGACTTTTAGGTGTCCTCCTTTGCCACCGCTGCCATAAAAAGAGAGCTACTCAATCGAACATGTGATTTTGCATTACGATCAAACAGACACGTAAACACACAAAATCATCATCATCTCAGCCGAAAGAACCCCGCATCCAACAGCTTCCCGCGAACTTTACCAGGGCCTTTTGGTCCCATCGACCATAATTTCTAAGAGCAATTTAAAGCAAACCAAACAATTCTTTAAATTCGCATTTTTAATATTGTTTAGGAAAACCTTTAATTAAATTGTTTTCTTTTGTTGAATATATTTTGTAAAATGATATCTTAATTATTCCAGGTTACGTGAATCACTCAGAAAGTTACCAAACAACCGACATACATAAGATTTACAAAGAAAACACCTTAGCCCATTTAGACCAAGAATTAGACATGACCCTTAAAGAAATGTCGAAGAAGAAACCTCCCGTTGCACCCAAAAAACCTTATAGAGATCTAGACCAATCAGACTCGAATTCAGACCAAGAATCCAGGCCGAAAATGACAGGAATCATGGCTAAAGTATCAAAATTCGAATACTATGCTAAGCAACAGAAAATCGGCAGAAGCCAATTTTACACGACGAACGAAAATGAAATATCTCCCAAAGTATTCAGCTCGAATTCACTTACAGTAAACACACCTGCAAAAGATGTTTTAGGAGGCAAAACAATTCCAAATTATATGAACAAAATAAAAAACGTTTGCATAAATGAAAACAATGCCATCGACCCCAAGAATTGTTCATATGCAAATGTAGCCATAAGAAATAAAACCAAAATCGATGATATTGTTAAAAATTTCAATGAGCCAACTAAAGATTATAATAAGTTACCTAAAAAAGTTAACAATGATCAACAGAATGATAATATCTATGGGAAAATCAATGTTGATAAAAAACCAGATGAAAAAGTAATTCAGAATGGGATAGAATCTGGGAAGAAACCAGAATCGGGGAAAAATAATTTAGAATCTTATAACTCGAATATAATGGTTAATAATGAGGTGTATGGGAAAATTTCTGATAGAAACGTCAACTTGTCGAAAGGGTTGAGTTTGCCTTCACCGGCGTACGACAGAAACCCGCAGTATTCGCCTGTGTATGCTAATAGTATGTATGATAGAAGTTTGGAAGCTGAAAGTCGAAGATTAAGGGTACGTACTCGTATTATTTTTCATTTCTATTTTATAGATTAGATGTAAATTAGTTTTTTTATTTGCCCCGTGGGTCTCGTAAGAGCCGACTAAAGGAGCTAACTACGCAGGACAACAGCACTGTAAAGAGAAGGAAAACTTGACACAAATCCTATACCAACCCGTCTGGCCAGAGTGGTATAGTAGGCCAAAACCTCCTTGCTAAGGAGAGGCCTATGTCAAGCAGTGAGCTATTAAAGGCTGTTGATGTTGACGATGATGATATTTTTAAGTAGCTACATACATATCTTATAGTCGACTGCAAATGAGCATTACGTCATTACCCCCCAAAGGGTAGAAAGGGGCGTATTAAACGTCCACATACTGCCTATTACGATTTTAGTCTCATTTACGTATGACCTAGACAAACCTATTGCCGTGAATCGGGCACATATATCTCTACTATTGTGATATACCTATTATTGTAACTCAACTAAATTAAAAAAAAGTTTTTTAAGGGTTAATTGCGAAATAAGGTAAAGGTTTTCAATTGTTGTATTGCGTTTGGCTTAACATATTTTTGTTTAAAAATATTGTTACGAGCCCCAAGAATTCGACAAATAAAAGTAGGCGGTTAATTACCGAAATTAGCACTGTAATTATAAACACACACTTTTACAAACAATAACTTAAATAAATAACTTCTTAGTGGCACTAGAAAATTGCTTAGGTGTTAACCGCTATCTCGTAAAACAATACTCGCCCGTACGACCCACACGCTCGGCTTAGATAGGGCTAACGAAATTACTGGAATAATCTCGAGGACTTCCAGAGGACCTATGCACAATAAAAAATTCCTAGAAGTTATAATCTTAGGTTACTCGACACGACTCGACATAATTTCAACGCGTAGTGTTTGTTGTGCGTTACTTGATACTAGATGGCACTGTCCTCAATATTCCATACGGCTCTCGATTGATCACGAACTAACTGCTCAATACTAGATCCTATGGCGCTACAATGTGAACAATGACACTAAACCTTACCATGTCCTTGTTTTGATCTGTGTTCAAAAACCGACACTAGCCCGGATCGGCGACAAGCTCAGTCAGCCAAGCACCCCGTTCACACGCTTGTATTTGTAAACACTAGTCGAGACTTGCCAAGCGTGTAAACGAAGCTTTATGTTGGGAAGTTGTACTATAATCGGCGTGAGAACTTCCATTTTGCGATGCAGGATTAACAGTTGTCTTCGTTGGATAGTATTGAGTTATGGTTTTGCGTTGCATTTGAAAGTCGACACAATGCAAGGAGATAATGACCACTTTGTTTCAATTTCTGTCAATTAATGCGGCAAATTAATCTTGCATCGCGCAATGATAGTTCTATTTTAGTTTGGCATTTCCTGTAACAGGGATTTCCTTACTAGGGTACACCTAGTAAGACAAGGCTGCGCTGAAAGCATTGTGTAACAGAGGTGTCGTTCGAGTATCTTGTGTATTACTTTCTAGGAGTGTTATGGACAGCCAAAAAATAGAACTCAATGAATGTAATTTTCTTCAAAAAGTATTCTGTCCGCTTTTGCACTTTTTCTTCTGAATTTCTACGGTTACGTTATTTGATGCGGACGTTTAATGAAAATCCCGGTAGTTCGTCAACATTCTTAACATTAAAAAAGGTATTATTATCTATCTATTTTGAAGTGAAGTTTTTAGTTGTTAGAGTTGTTAGTTTCAATGTAAGGTTTATCTATAAAAAGTCACAAACTGTAGCATCCTGTATTATATTACATGTGTCTAAATAAATATGAAGAAATATTATCATAATGATAATATAATTAACTTGGTTCGCGTGAAACGACCTTGTGATAAGATTTGTCATTGTATGATAACATTCGCAATAATGAACTTATAATAAGAACTAGCCGTTTCCCGTGATTACACCTTGGGTTATAGTCGCTGTCCTGCTTCTTAGTGTCGTAGCGTAATGTTATATAATAACCTTGTTCAATGAATAGTGTATTTTTGCCTGAACAAAAAACATTTCTTTCACTATGAGGTTGTTTTTAACCGACTTTAAAAAGAAGGAAGGCTATCAATTCGGATGTTTAGTCTTTTATGTATGTTCGGGCATAACTCCGACATATATAGACGGATTTTCAAAATTATTTCTTGTTCTAAAGGTAATTTAAAGTTTGTATAAATCTGATGATGAATTCCGGAGACAGACAACGGAACTCTTCAAAAAAATGAGAGCAAATCAATGGCGATTGCTGCTAGGTTTTTAGTGCTCTCTTTCTTGTTTGAAGTCGGTTCAACTTCTTTTTCAAAAAGGATTTACTTTGTTATAGTAAAGGGCACAAGTGCATTGCATCCCTTTAACCCCCTCGTCTACCTAGTAGTGGATAGGGGATCTTTGGGCTAAGAATTAAGAATTTCTTAACACCAGTTTGCAGTGAAGATATACAATCACTCCAGTTGAGCCGGCCCATTTGTCCTGACGAAGTATGGCTCTCTATGTATCTAATAGACTCAACTTTTCCTTTGCTGTTTCGCTTTAAAGGGTTTTTTTTCAAAAAATATTTTGTGTGCAACAAGGAATTTTCTATCTAAATGAAAATACACCAAAGAATAGATATTCTGTGGAGAATTGCCATTATTTTATGCCATGTTGCAAATATAAGGAAACATTTAAAAAAATATGTTTACAAATGTTACTTGACAAGAAAGACAAACTTAGATCTATGATAAAAATACATATATAATAAGTTTTCTTATCGATGTTTTATTGTTGTTTTTCTAATAGACTGTAGATAACGGTATGCCTATATTATATATTTTACTTTACAAAACATTGTGTTTCTAGCTAAAACTCAAGTTAAGTTACGTTAAGTAAACGAAAGTTAAGTTACTCTAAAAGTGAATCATGAGATTGTGGGTTTATGTGTAACGCTTTTAAGTCTTAAATCCTCATCCGTACTGTGCGTGGTTTATGTGTTACGTTTTAAATCCTGATGCGGTCATCATACAAAAAAGGATGTAGGGTTACCTTTATTCCGAAAAAGTTTTGTATCTCAGTGATAGAAAAATCAGTTTAACGTATAAGAAGACGCGAAAAAAGCTAACCTGTTATAACTTGTAATCAACTAGTTGTAGATTTTTTTTGAAAAACTCACTATAAAAGAACTGCTTATCACAGTTTTCTGTGAGGCCGTATGAAAGTTCGATCACAATTCAGCTCCGATCAACTCTCGATCTCACAACTGTATTTTCGTAGTAACGTATTACTTTCAGATAACCGATTCAATTTTCGGTTACAACACGATATAATCACATAACAGTTAACGTTAAATACTTAACCGAATTGTGACCGAAATTTTATTACGAGAATTGGCCTTGTGATCGAGGCTGCGCATACGTGGTTTTCCTATAGTTAAAACCTACAACATTCACACGAAGTATCATATCTACTCAAAAGACATAGTCTGCTAGGTCTTCCGGTATATCTAAGAAGCTCCTAGAAGAATCATTCCTTAACTCAGCTAAACACTTGATTTACAATGGTCTCCTGTGTTTATAAGTTCTAGTATACTTCTCTTAAATATAAATAAATATATTATCAAAAAAGGCATAATCTTATGATGTTCATTGCGTTATAGTTATAATAGAAATTAAAAAACAATGGTCTTATCACTGATAACAGTTGTCGCGATAGCATAACTACTGTTTAGTCGCATTGCGGCAAGTGAAGTCTAGTTTTCACATACGACATTAAATTAAAAAAAATATTTAAAAAAAAATAGTGCTTTAAGTGTTCGTCCTTGATTAAATATAGCTGTAATTTTGTAATGTGCGTGATATTGACCGTGAATTAAATAATATGTGTTAGTGCTAACAAAATACCGTTCTTATTGTACTAGGCTTTTCATCATCATCATCAACAGCCTATACTAGTCCACTGCTGGACATAGGCCTCTCCTTAGAAAGGAGGTTTTTTTAGGCTTTTCATATCATACGTAAATAAATATTAGCTTATTTTAAAAAGACGGTTGTGAGAAGTTGTCACGTTAACATTATTATATGACATTAGTGAGAAAGTAGCTAAGTGGACTTTAATAGTCACCTTTAAAAGATTTTGGTTAAAAAAACGACTGTCCCGCCAATTTTTTCTTTTTTAACATTAGGTAATGGTGCCATACAACCGCCATATTGATTTCTTTTTAATTGTAGATTCTAACGATACCCCTTGTATCCAAGTCTGTTCAAGCATTTAGAAGTTATATTGGGATATAAAACTAACATACAGGAACCCTGAAGACATTACACATTTTTGGGCAGACATGTAACAAATGGAATAGAATTTAGTGGTTATAATGTCATATTAGATAAAACTGAACTCTAGTCTTACAGCATTAGATAGAAATTCGATAAAAAGAATTCAGTCAAAAGGCCCTCGTTCTATGGTTTTACATTTTTCTTTTCCACAAATTAGCCTTTATAGTTATTTATTACTAGAGTTTCATTTCAATAACTTTTATCTATGCATGCAATGAGTGTGCGTGACTTCAAAAGTTTTTAATTACCGGAAAGTACTTAAACTTAAAAGATAGCAGTATCTTTGTTGTTCAGATATATAAATAAATAGCAACGTATGTTTGTTGTCATGCGCTGTCATATACGTTGACGGATTAAGAATACGGAATGTCACTACCCCAATTCATCCCGTGGGTGTCGTAAGAGCCGACTAAGGGCGCTAAACAACGCAGAACAACAGCACTGCAGAGAGAAGGAAAACTTGACACAAACCCTATACCAACCCGTCTGGCCAGCGTGGTATAGTAGGCCAAAACCTCCTTTCTAAGGAGAGGCCTATGTCCAGCAGTGGACTATTAAAGGCTGTTGATGTGATATGATGATGAACAATATTTTCAAAAGAAAAGGTTACCATTTATAAATATAATTGTATTAAACGACTAGTTTTACATATTTAATTATGAACGTAAACTTGTAACAATTGTTAAATACAGGTCCATGATAATATTACATACTAGCTATCCCGCACATCGTCTGAGTCTCCTGAAAGGAATAAATTTTCCCCGTTTTTGCAACATTTTTAATTGATGCTCGGCTCTTATTGGTGGTAGCGTGATGTTGTATAGCCTAAAACCTTACTCGATAAATGGGCTATCCAACACTAAAACAATTTTTTAAATTTAATCCGGTCGTTTCTGAGATTAACGCTTTTAACCATAGAAATAAACTCTTCAGCTTTATAATATTATAGTACAGATGTATGTATATACCTACATAATTGCATTTCAATAAAATACGTACTATACTATAGTACATAGTTTAGTTTTTATTGCATTTAAATAGCTTGACGAAATGTTTTATAGTCATAAAATGTACAGTTACTAATCAACAAAATATTACTCTAACAGAACCGTTCAAGAAAGTATGTCTAAAAGTTATTATTACAGCCTATTTGCTATACGATTTTCGACTCTATTTCTTTTAAAGTAAATAAGTATGTCAATCTTAATGTTATTTGATACAAGCTATCAATGTCAGTTGTTTACACTTTCATTTTTTTGTACAAAATAATTTTAGTTAGTTTTAAGGTGTAGCTGTCGCGCTAGGTTTAGTTAAATGTTTTATTAATTAAATTATATATTAATGTACATAATAATTTATATTTAATAAATGTGAAGACAATTATAGAATAAAGTGCAGGTGAATTTAACAAGTTTTGGTTTAGTGCTGTGTACAAAACAGTGTAGAATTGTCATTCAACGACTTACATATCTTTAGTAAGTTAAAATAGTTCGAAAATGACAACTAAAACAAAAAATCAACGGTCACACAAACGTATAATAAAACTATTCGTGGGCAGTCTGAAGAAAAACACTCTGGCTCTAGAAAATTTGAAACGGTCCATAGACAAAAACAACGATAAACCACACGATTACGACAAAATACTCGCCTTATCGACGGCAGTCAACGAAAAGCTCGACATAGTCCATAAAATACGAAACGACATTAAAATATACAAAACGATTAATACAATACTAACAAATCATTATATAAAAATAACTAAGGACCAAGAAAACTGCATACAAGCAAAAGTTTTGAGAATAGAAGAACAAATAAAGGAGTCCTATGAAAATTTGAAAATGGAACTAATGAAAATGACATCTGTCAGTGTTGCCAATCAGAATATATCGTCGCCGATACAGAATAGTAATGTTATTTTAGTTGGCAACGATTTAAAATGTAATCAGTTTAATCAGCTGTATGTTAGAAACGAAATGTATAACAGTATTATAAGAAAAATTGATAAATTGTTTTGCGGAATGGTAAGTTTTATCTTAATCTTTTAAACGCCAAATCTAGTAAATAAATTTATGGTATTATAATTACGAAGGTTAGAGAATAATAAAAGTAGTCTATATTTTATGCTACTGACCCATTTTTAAAAACATTGAGTAAAGTGGTCTAATATCAGCTTTAAGATAATCCAATCAAGGCTGTTTTTATATCGCTGTGATTTTGTTTAGTACTTTGATAATGCAAAGCAATATTTCTCGTGTCTCTTTTTTTAACCCGACGCGACGACAGTACGAAGACCAATTAAACAGTACAGAGCAGATGTAGCGTACGTTCATTTTTATGATGTGTTTTGAGTTTCTTTAACTATATTATATTAAATTGTACAAAATGTAAAATTATAAATATTACTTTGATAGGTCTGTTGGTCTAGTGGTTAGTGGTCCTGAATGCTAAGTCAAAGATAGGGGGTTCGATTCCTAGCCAGGACCATTTATTGTGTGATGAGCACGATCATTTGTTCTGCGCTTAGATGTAATTTATCAATAACATGTATGTATTAGCAAATATTTAAGTATGTTTATCAGCCGTCTGTTTACCATAGTGCAGGCTATGTCTAGTTTGGGATCAGATCGTCGTGTGTTAGATGTGTGAGGTTATTATAATTATTATATTGAACATAAAATCGTAAAAATGTAACATAAATTAAAGACTTTCGTAAGCGGTATTTATATTTATTATAGATATACTTTTTCAATCACGTGTGTATTTAGGGGAAGTCCGGAAGTTTCGAAATCGAAGAGGGACCACTATTAAGGAGTAAAGGGCCGGTATTTTATGGGTTTTTTATGGCGTAAGGGGCAAAGGATTCGGCGGGACTACAACCGCCCATTGACACAAATCTCACAAAAGTGCGTTGCCGTCCTAGAGTGGCTCTCCTCCCAGAATGGGGGAGAAGGGCCCGGGTTTTGGCTCCGGAACCTCACCCACTCAGTAAAAAGCAACTAAATAATTGTTTAACATCGGTTTTCCGTGAGTCCGTGGCATCACTCCGGTTGAGACAGCCCATATGTGCCGTAGCATGGCTCTCCCACGGGGACGTGATATGCGTCACACTAATCGTGATAGTGGTGAGGCATCCAAGAAATACACACATGAGGGCCAAGTGCGTATTTACTTCACTTCTAATCGACCGTCACGGTGACTGTGTGCGGCGCTACTAAATCTCCAAGAGAGCGATGTGAAATAAACTTGCACTCGGCCTTCACAATGAATCTTTTTTAAATAAAATAAGTGTTTCAAATAATTTTCCTACCACAAACAATCATGTATTTTTTATTTTGTAGAGTGGAGCAGTAGCATACTTATTACCTACTCTAATAACTAAGTTAAAATGAATATCTCCAATTAATTAGGTATTTTGTAAGTATAATCAATGGGTTTATCACTGTACCCCTAGTTTATTTAAATAAAAAAATCTGCTTCAATGGCCAACCGACTATGTCGTAGTTTTATCATCAATTCATGTATATTTAGAAATATAGAAATATGTTTATCTGCAATCTGGTTACCTTAGTACATACTCTGCCTAGTTTAGGACCAAACCCGTGTGTAAGATGTGTTAAGTTATTAATATTATTATCACCAAGCTCAATTTCTGGCACTTATTAAAACAAATCAAGATTATGAATGGAACTAAAATTGTTGTTGGCAAATTGTGAGGTCCACGTATTGCACTTTGCCAGAGAGTTGTAACCCCTTATTATTTTAGATAATATTATTTCACTAGTACTGATGTTGATTAAAACATATTCCAGGCGTACCAGGACCGCATAAAGGAGGAGGAACAAAAGGAAGCAGAGACGGCTCGTCTTGAAGAGATACTTAATATGTGCGCCGAGTACGAGAGACAGATCGCATCAGGTAATAGAATTTTATTATAATTTTGTTGCTGTTGGTCATGATTTCTTTCGCGTTAGTGTAAATAATACCCAACAAGATATTTTTTTTTAAGTTATTTTGTGTGACGGTCCTGTAGGCCTAGTGGTTAGAGATCCTGATTGCTAACCCAAAGGTCGTGGGTTCGATGACAGGACAAAGTGATGAGCACGATCTTTTATTCTATGTTTTGGTGTTATTTGTCTATAATATGTATTTATTTAGAAATATATAAATATGGTCATCAGCGTTCTGGTTATCATGGTATAGGCTCTGCCTAGTTTGGGATCGGTTACCGTGTGTGGGATGTTTGAGGTTAAATTACTATTATTATTTTTGTGTTCCTTGGGAACATAAACTAACTAACTCCTTCATAAAAGGCCGGCAACGTGTTTGTGACTCCTGAATTGCAGACGTTCATGGGCGGCGATGGTAACTTTCCATCAGGTGACCCGTCTGCCCCTTCTAACATAAAAAACAACCCTTTGTTTCTGGTTAACACCTTCCCTACGCCAAACACATCGTACACGTAGTCTGTGTTTTTATAAAACCCTTTTTCCAGTGTTAATAAAATAATAAAAGACACGAACAATTTTTCTATCCACAACTAGGCTTGCGCACAATAGCAGTTGTGGGTAGAAACCATAGTATTATATCATTTGTTCTCTAGAAGTTTTACTAGAATCTCATTGGCGGCGGTTATCACTTTCCATGAGGTGATCTATCTAGTCTTTTGCCCCCTATATTATAAAAAACCTTCGTGTGAGGTCTATATGAAGATTGTTGTTCAGACATCTGACACACAACGCTGTGTAGTTTCAAACGAAACAGAGCTTGTATTATGAAAGCTAGATTGACTGATAGAATACTTAATACCTTTTTTTTTGTAAATATATACATATTATACATAGAAAACACCCAAACTCCGAAACAAATACTTGCAGATCATACAAACATTTGGTCCGACCCGGGAATCGAACCCGAGACACAGCAGTCGCATACGCTACCACTGTACTACCGAGACAGTTAAATGCTTGTATAATCACACTGATTTGTTTCGGTTGGTTGATCTAAAGACGTTCTCCTTGACCATTTTACTTAAACCGTGGTCAAGGTCTATCGTGTTACATAATATCGTAATATCACCTTCCGTTTTTGCGTGATTTTAAGCATCTTTTTACACGCTTTATATTAGCTTCACTTGTATGTTTGTTTGTGACCGACTCCTTTGGGCGTGATTTTGACTGACTTTAAACGGTCACAATTCGTTCAAACTTTGTAGATATATCGAGGACCGATGACAATACACTATTTAAAAAAAAAATCTTAAAAAAAGAATAGTTTAAAAAAACTAAAAAAGCGTGGGGTGCTTTTTACTATTGACAACAGGCACCAAACATTTTTTTTTTCAAATTTATTAAAAAATTTGTATTAAGATGTTAGTTTAGTTGTTACTAGCCTATGTTACTCTCTGATAATGTAGCTTTCAATTGGTGTTTCTTTTAAATCGGTTTAGTGGTTTAGGCGTGAGAGCGTAAAAAACTAACAAAATCACTTTCACATTTATATTATAAATATGTATATTTAGTGGTTTTGGTTTTGTCTCAAGCGGGTTTTTATTTCTCTTCCTACCTTACATAATAGAAAAATCGTGTTCCAACGTTTTTATTGACAATTGATTTTTATGTGTGAGCGTGCCTGCAGCACACTGCAATGAGAAGGACACCTTGACACAAATCCTATACCAACACGTCTGGCCAGCGTGTTATAGTAGGCCTAAACCTCCTTTCTAATGTCCAGCAGTGGACTATTAAAGGCTGTTGATGTGTATGTGAAGTGAGTGTGCCTGTATGTATTTGGAACCCACGTGTTTTCATGCAGCCGTAGTCACCATCAGCTGACCCGTCTGCTCGTTTGCTCCTATACCATGAAAATATATTTAGTGTATAACTAATCTATCGTTTTACTGTTACAGGTATTCCTATCACCCCTACGGAGAAGAGACCACACAATAAGATCATCACAAACGGGTCACTCCCGCGCAGCGTTGCCCTCAACAATCCCAACTTCATACAGACCAGTGATGGATATTTTAAGTAAGTTAAATTATAAGTGCATTTATGTTCTGCTAAAGTATTTAATATTATGCCTACTCTTAAATTACAAAACTAAACTACAATTAATAACTTCTTTGCCCAGTCTTGATTCAGTCTGTAAAATTAAAATAATAATTATCTCTGTTTTTCAATCATTAATTTTTTTTTTAATACAATTCATAGAGAAAAATGCATGTCTTTTAGAGCGTATTATTATAAAATAATACAACAGTTACCATCGATAGTAGCAATTATTAAATTTAATTAAATATCACAAAAACCGCTCCCTTCTATGTGCCATGCTAATTACCATATATTTTAACCCTTACGATAAGTACATGACTTGGAAAAAAATTTTCTCATATTATTATAACACTGTTTTTTTTCCTTTTACAGGTTTGATACTAGTCACAGCAAAAACCCTCCTCTAAGCTCCTCACTACCAATACAAAGAAATCTCTCCAGCTATGAAAACTTCGATATGTCCCCTCCAACTCAACTCACTCCAGAAGTCATCATACCACAAAATAACTATGAAAACATTGGCCGAATGGACGAGATAGGGATCCCTGTCTTCGACGATCCTTCAGCAATGCACGATTTATCTAGTCCGATTATGATTAGGAAACTTCATAACCAAACCGGCGATCGGAACCCTAATCTCTCATCACCAATAGGTAGCCCATACGAAAATGTTTATTATAGAAACAATGTGTATGGCAACTTAAAACCTAAGTCTCCAAATACACAAAGTCCTAGAACTAGAATTAAAACTACATTCGCGCATAAAAATCTCCCATCACCACAATATTTTATTTTCCCCACACCACCTCCAGTAGATAATTCAAAAAATCCGAACTTTGAACAAACGCAAGAAAATAAAGAATTATCAGATAGTGACAAACCTAAATTCAATGGCATAGAGAAGCAGCTAAGTCTCGAAGAAGAAATTCCAATGATTGACGATGAACTAACTAATGATATAGAATTAAGATACTCCACTATCATTGAAGATAAGAAAAAGGAAACTTCAGAAAAGAGTCCTGACATAAAGTTACCGAAGAATCAAAGCTTCGATGATATGAAACAAGAAATAATGGCGGACATTCCGGAATTAGAAGAATTTGAGAAGGACTTAAAGGAGAATAATAGAAGCAAAATTATAAAGAATATTACAGAAGACATAAAGATAATTGACATTGAGGCTGATTCGATTGATAGTGCAGTATTGGATGATAATGTGGATGACCTGAAAGGTAAATACGAGAAACTAAAAGAAGACAGAAAGAAGTTGGTGACACACATACATGAACTTAAATGTAAAATGACTGAGATCCGGTCGCAGGAGGATGACATTTTGAGAGAGGTAAGTTTGTTTTTCTTTTATTCGAGAAGTCATTTAGAGATTCTAATATAGATCTGTTAGCAGTGGCGTATATATTCTGGGTTAAAAGCCTCGTGGGTGGGGCGGCAGGTCGTAAAGTCGCTTTGGATAATGGCTACCCACTTGTTAAAAAGTTTTCGATTTGATTATTTGTAGTAAAACTGCCTTTAAAAAATCTCACAGTAATATGCTTAAATTATAAATAAGTTCCTACCTTTTACCTTTTTTAACGAATTCCTATGAAAATCGCAAAAAATGTGTCCAGTTTTTGTAAAGTCTTAAATTATGCTAGTTAAATATTTGTTTCGGCACATTTTTTTTGTAAATTTAAAAGTACTCGTCTATGTGAAGAATTGTACACCTACTTTTACATTATACTTTTCTATATTTTTACAGCTTGAAATGGAGAAAGCATTAATTAAAGGAGAATACGACTCGGAAATAGCAATCCTCAACATAGAACAGAAGAAAAAGTTGGAGTTAGTAGAAAACGCCAAGAAAATAGAGGAAGAAATAAGACAGCTGAAGCAAAAACAAGAAGCGAGACAGAGCGAGATGCGGGACCGAGTGGAGATCGCTACGTTGAAAGCTGATAGGTGAGTTATAGGAGTGTATGAGTGTTTTTATACATGAAAGAGAGAGACAATTTTTATTTCAACCAAAACCAAAAATAATCTGCAATGAGCAATATTCATTCATTCTGCTTGCACTGTTCGCTTATCTTCACCCTTGTTTATTGGTTGTATCATAAAACTAGAACGAGACCCTAGATCGTAACAGGTATACATATACCTATAGACCTTTTACATATATAGCCTACTAGCTGCCCTCCCAACTTCCTCTGTCTCAAAAGAAATAAATTTTCTCAATTTTTCCAACATTTTTCATTGATTCTCGGCTCCTATTGTAATAATAATATTGGCATAAATGGGCCATTCAACACTTAAATATTTTTTCAATTCGGACCAGTAGGTCTTTAGATTGGCGCGTTCAAGCAAACAAACAAATTCTTCAGCTTTATAATAACTTCGACGAGCCTGTTGGTCTAGTGGTTAGTGACCCTAGCTGCTAAGCCGGAGGTTATGGGTTCGATTCCCACGCATGACAAATAATTGTGTGATGAGCACGATCATTTGTTTTGTGTCTGGGTGCAATTTATCTATAATATGTATGTATTTAGAAATAAATAAATATGTCTATCAGCAATCTGGTTACCATAGTACAGGCTCTGCCAGGTTTGATATCAGACGACCGTGTGTGAGATGTGTGAAAAAAAAGTAAGATGATTAGGCAACAATACTAATGAATGTAAATGAATCATTTACATTTAAAAAGATACTACATAATTTCCTTCAAATATACAACCACCTGAAGAAGTTAGAAGTAGGGCTTTCCACTACCGGTGTAGAGTTCTAATTCTATTGCTGACTTAAACCATAGTTCCGTGAATGAATATGTCTAATTACAAGTGTATACTTATATTTCTACCGTCTAAAATAAGAGAAAAAGTATTGATACAGGAGTCTAAATTAAAACTGTCTGTCAACAGAATAGAGAAAGATCTGAAAGAAAATACAGCAACATTAGAAGAGTTACAGAACGCTCAGGATATCCTTGACAATGAGACCAAGATATTTGAGGATCTGGAGTTCCAACATCTCGAGGAAGAGTCTGAACTGTAAGTATAGCAACTTGTTTTTTACTGTAAGCTTGTCTCACTAACGCAAAAGGTAAGTCCATATTATCAATTCGTGTTCATAGAAAATAGCGTTACTTTACACAAAATCGTAAGAATTATCTACAGAGAACATTATATGCATAAATATTACATAACTTTAAATTACTTGATAATTTCTGAAATTATCAAGTAATTTAAAGTTTCAAATTAAATTTCATCTATTTCTATGCGAGCCCTGGTTAGCATACTATGGCAAACTTGCTTTATTAGACATAGTCGCACATCCATATACACCCTTTTTATTGAAAATACAAGAACAGAAGTAGAGTGAAGAGAACTACAGGAGAACTAAATATACGCCTGTACTTCTCTTCTTCTTGTTGAGAGATAAAGCCGTTTGGTACGTTTGGTACACACGTTTTTTTGATTCAGGATTACGTTACACAGTGTTTAATATAAGCTTGACACTACATGAAGATTTCACACATAACATGACGCCTTATAATAAGAATATTAATGAATGAAGCTATAATTACTCATTTTTTTCTACAGGTTATCCAACAGAGAAGATATTCAAAACGAAATAATACTTCTTACTAAAAAAATCGAAGCGCAAAAGACTCGCATACTAACTCTGAAATCAGAAGCTAACAACAACCTTACTTCAGCTTTAGATGAAACGAAAGTACTTCATGCTGAATATGTCAAAATTCTAAACCTCGTTGAAGAACTAACCAGCAAAGTCCAAGCTATAGAAAAAGAACTTAAACCTATAGTAGCAAAGTTAAATGATATTGAAAGAACCCAATCACCAGATAGTGCGTTCTATACTGACCAAACTAGAGCCAAATCCGGTGAATTTGGATATTCCCCTCAAAGTTCTGATAGTGACGATATTGATTTAAAATTATCTAACTTTGAAGACCATACTAAACATTTAAACGATAAATTTAACTCTATAGATCAAATGTCTCAATCTATGACAGTTGATATAGAAAGGAGAGTTATAACAGATCTTGTAGATAATGATGAAAGGTACAGTGAAAGTCCGTCAAAATCATCTACTTCTTCAAAAGAGAAAAAAGGCTTTTGGGAAAGAAACTTCGATTCGTTGAAACGAAAAAAGAAACCGAAATCACCCGAAAAAGTCGATATAATGTCACAGAGTTTGAACGAAAATTTATTTTATAACGACAATATTGAGGCTGACGTGAGTTTAGATAAATTTAATAGTTTGAGACATTCAAAGAAAAAAGCTGCGGGGCCAGTTAAAAGTAATTCTTCATCTAAAATACCGACTTTTGCTGCTTTAGGAAAGATTATGAAAAAAGATTCTTTTGGAAAGAAATCTAGAGAAAACAGTATTAAGAACGATGAATCAGATAAAGAAAATAACTCTAAGAACCGTTATATTAAAAACCCTAAACCTGTAAGTCCTGATAATAAGTACATAAAAGCCAAATCGTTATCTCCCGAGAAGAAAGAAGATGATATTAAAGAAGAAAGCGAAGATATCGATAATGAACAACAAAAGAATAGAGTGACTTTCGAAAACACATCTAAAAGTGATAATTTTGTAGACACAGCGCAGGCAGCTAAAATATTGCACAGGAAAAGCTGTGGAGACGAACCGAACATAAAGACTGCAGATTTCCAAAAGATCGCTGATACCAATAAGATTCCATCGCAAGATGATATTGATCGAATATCGAAGGTAACGATAGATGCTCCTATTCTATCGAGTGACACTGATGTGAATTCTTTAGGGAAGAGAACATTGGATAGCTTGATGGAGGTGGAAAGAAAGAGACTTGAAATGTTGGAAGAACAAGGTAAGTTTAAAACGCTTTAAATTTTTCACATCACATCAACATCCTAAAATAGTCCACTAATAGGCCTCTCCTTAGAAAGGAGGTTTTAGCCTACTGTACCACGCTGGCCAGACGGCTTGGTATAGGGTTTGATTCAAGTTTTCCTTCTCTTTGCAGTGCTGTTGTCTTGTAGTTTGGTCCCTTAGTCGGCTCTTACGACACCCACGGGATGAATAGGCTGACATTCCGTATTCTTAATCCGTCACCACATGGATAAATTTTTAGTTGTATAATTCTCTATTCTCTTTTGTTTGCTGATATGCTTCAGATTTTAGGTGTAATCTATTTCATACGTTTCTTAAAGAAAAAAGTCTATGCTCCAGCTATACTTGACTACAATTTAGTATCTAAAAAGATATCGTACGGAGCTGTATTGTGTTCATTCTGAATTAAGTTTGTTTATTGTCTTGTATTAGTCTTTTAATATCTTTTATTATTTAAGATACAGTTTACAAGATGGTTTCAACTAATACAGAACAATAATATAATACTCACGTGGAGTAAAGCTTTTGCTTTCTTACAAACATTATAAAGAAATTATTACGATATTATTCATAAAGCCTAAACTTATATATAATAATTTTGACTGGCCCGTTGGTCTAGTGGTTAGTGACCCTGACTTCTAAGCCAGAATTGTGTCATGAACATGATCATTTATTCTGTGTGTTAAAAATATATAAGTATGTTTATCAGCAGTCTGGTTACCATAGTATAGGCTCTGTCCAGTTTGGGATCAGATCACTGAACACCCATGTGTGAAATTATTATTAATATAGTTTTCTGTACCCTTATCTGTACCTGCAGTATTCATCGTTTACGCAAAGTTTAATGACGATCGATTCGGTAGTTAAGACCTAATATCGACAAACAAACTCATTCTTAGTCCTACATTCAAATCAACTTCATTTTATAAATACTTTTTTCAAGTCTACGTAAGCCAATTAGAATTATTTCCAAACGTACAATTGGTATATAGTTTTAAAATGACCTATTTTAACAGGCTGCCAAGTAATAGAAAATGAGAGAGAAAAAATTCTGGAGTTGAAAAGGCGTGTTCAGGACGAGACGAAGAAGCTCTGGGACCAAAAATACCGCTCAGAGCACAGCAAGTCCTTGGATTCTACAGAGCAGTGTCACAGTTTGCCTGGAGAAGAGAAGATGAACAGGAGTACGCTGGAGGAATCAAGTTTGATGGACGATAGCTTCATGGCAAATTCCAGCGTTTTTGAGGAGAGGTCAGTATTTTTAGTCTGCTAGTACAATTATTAATAATAATAGTATCAAACAAAGTACTTAAAAGAATATCTAAGAAAAAGAAAAAACAAATTGCACTCTTTATAGTCCTCAATTTCTGTAAACTTTACCCATTAAATGAAGTAATATTTATTTGTTTTAAACTTAATGCACAAGTTGTACAAAGGCGTACTAAATGCCATTAGGCATTCTCTCCCAGTCAACCTTCAGGTGATGTAGAAATATGATGCGGTAGAATAATGTAGTATTTTAGTAATTAGCTATCTTTACATCACATCATATCAGCAGCCTTTGATAGTCCACTGCTGGACATAGGCCTCTCCTTAGAAAGAAGGTTTTGCCTACTATACCACGCTGGCCATCGTACTTAGCTTAGCTATTTTATTCGTAATATAAATTTACTAAATAATGAAAAACATTAGTACCTAACAAGATAAAATATATTTATTTAAAAGAACGATAATACTGCATAGTTAACCCACTTTGTCGCCACCGTGCTATAATTTGCAGATCGAATTGATTGGTCATTCCTGCGGTAGTTTTAATCTTGTGTTCGGCTCAAAACCAATAGTTCTCTAAATGATCTTTATTGACTTTAAGTGCAAGGTGTTTGCGTATTAAATTTAATGAAAAATAAAAACGGCTAAGAACGTGTGAGCTACGCGCAAAATAGGGTGCCGTAGTTAATGACTACCCAGTAAACGCTTGACTCTAACAAAAAGTTAATCACATCACACATCAACAGCCTTTAATACTCGTAGTCCACTGCTGGATATTAGGCCTCTCCTTAGAAAGGAGGTTTTGGCCTACTATACCACGCTGGCCAGACGGGTTGGTATAGGGTTTCTGTCAAGTTTTCCTTCTCTTTGAAGTGCTGTTGTGCTACGTAGTTTGGATGAATAGGGGTGGTGACACTATTCTTAATCCGTCTTCACACGAAAAAAAGTTAATATTATGACATAAATAACACTAAAGTTTCTTCACTGAAAGCAAATTGTTCATAATCCCTCAATGTTTATAAAATACCTGTCTCATTATATACTACGGGATAGATGAGAAAAAGAATCATCCCCACTTTTGAAGATTTTATTTTACACTTCTGCAAAAAGGAAACAGTTTTTTAGTTTGAACAGTCTGTTAGCTAAGCCGCGGACCGACCGTATAGACAGACAGACGGACATGGCTAAAAACGGGTTCTTTCTTAGGATCATGGTTCCCTAAAAAAAAGAAGGGTGAACTTTATAGTACTGTAAAGTAGGAAACACAACTAATCTTCAAAATCTTAAAAAACAAAATGTTTAAAAAAAAAAACCCAATTTTCTCGTAACTCTTAAAGCTACTGTATTCTTACTGCCGTTTCTTACTGTCGAAGATCTGATGCATCCCTTACACTAGCTGCCTTACATTAATAATTAAAACATTTTCTGAGACCTGACACACAACGCCATCTAGTTTCATACTAAGCAGAGTTTGTACTATGAAAGCTAGATTGACTGATAGATTTTTTATTTTTTTTTGTAAATACATACATAGAAAACACCCAAACTTCGCAACAAATATTAGCAGATCATACAAACATTTGGTCCGACCCGAGACCAGGGCAGTCGCATACGCTACCACTAGACCACTTGCATTATTTGTTTTCCTTAACCTAAATGACGTTCTGCCCGAAAAGGGTTGGCGGCAATAGCTTCATCCGTGGGAGAGCCATGCTCTGGCACAAAAAGGCCAGCTCGACCAATGTGATACCATAGCCTCACGGAAAACCGTTGTTAAGTAAATCTTTCCTTAGCATCAAGGGACTAAGGTTATCAGAGACCAAAACCCCCTCCCCCCCTCTTGATTCTGGGACTCAAAAGGCACTCTTAAGTTACAGATGTCCATGGTGGGCGGTAATCCCTTATCATTAGGTAACCTGCTCGTTTCCCCATCTATCCCGAAAAAATGGCAAAATCATTCAAAAACAAACTCAACGAAAAAGCGCATTTTCCTCTCAAGTTACGACAACTATTGCACTAAACCAACATGAATCAGTACATAATAAAGTTTGTGATAAGATAAACGCAGTACTCACACAGCCGCGGACGCGCGCCTACGTACTTGTGTACGTTAGTTGCCGTGGATTATGGAAAATAAGTGACTGTGAGTGGTTTCATAAAGAGATATGGTGGTTTAATCTCAGAAGATCCATTGTCCAGTCATTATTAGCGTGTGTTTGACCCTCTAATTGTAAGAGGAATAGTGAACATTACAGTCATGTTTCTAAGTTTTAATTTCTACTTGGTGTTTGGTTCTAGTATCTTTGGTTGAGTAGCTGTATTAGTGAACACTCTTTATGAAGGAAAATGTATTTAGTGCTAGTTTCTGGAGTTGGAGCAAAACCTGATGGCACTTTTTTTTTTCTGTGCGTGATTAACGTTTATTCCACTGTGGGTATGGTGGAGTTGTCAGAATTGAACCAATTACAATAGTGAGTGGCTGTTCACTAAGTTTGCCTAGCAGATTCTGGCAAATTTTATGCCAACCGGATTCCGTTAAGAAGGCATCGCAATCTTTAATAACCTCTTTCGTCGGCCTGAGTTAATCTGATCTGACTGACTGATCGGTACTCGTGTCAAATCTTACAATTTCAGTCACTCATTCATTGATTTGGTGTGTGTCTTATGTATAATATGTATGTATTATATATGTATATATATATATATATATATATATATATATATATATATATATATATATATATATATATATATATATATATATATATATAAATATATGTTTATCAGTTGTCTAGTACCCATAGTACAAGCTCTGCTTAGTTCTGGACTAGATGGCGTTGTGTGAATGTAGTAGAATATTATTATTCTAAAAAATGATTTTTCTTAAGAAAAATCAGAGTACATTTATGGGAACTTGAGAGTATAGTAAATTAATAGAGAACCATAGCTGAACAGGTACATGAAATCCATTAAGAGATACAGAAGTATGCAAAGCAAAATATGCCAGACCTTTTTTCGATAGATTCCTGTCTACATTTTGAAAGATTCCATAAACAAAAATGCACCAGCTTCATTTGGCATCAACTAAAATTTTATTCATCCCTCCTGTTTCAGACTTTTTGCAAAACCTTTAAAAAGATACTAGGTTTGTTTAGACGCGATCGAAATTAGTGTTGCCAATATCCACAAGTTAAAGTTACCAGCTTGTTATCTTGTTTACCAGACGAATATTTGTCATGTCACACTCACACTCACCGTTCCCAAAAAATTCGTGTTCATGAAGTTTTTATCACAATAGTCTTTATCAAGGTTTTATTTGTTTAAGTTTTATGTGACCCAGCTCAATCATACGTCCACAAATATTTCTAAATATTGTTGTTTCGCGAACTTTTTATATATTATGACCTGCTTATCATAGGATGGCACTAAGGTTACTGATGTTAATATTAAATAACAAGATTATTGCGACAAATTTCATTTTATGACTAAAAACACCTTTTGTAATTTTTTAAGTTATTATTTTGGTTGGACTGTTAGCTGGTGTGTAAGACGTATCTTCAAAAGCCCAATACAAATGAAAGTTGAATAAAGAACCAATTATAATAAATTAGGTCTTCACAAGTTAAACGTTGATTCAGAATTAATAGGTCGTCTCCACGTTTGACCCTCAGGCCATCCTTCCATTCAAAGACTGCTAAGGAGAGGGCTGATTAATTTTTTATTTCAATGAACATCATTGAGGGGATTTATCTTTGCTTCAAAAGGAAATATGTATGTTTGACGACCGGATGGCGTAGTGGTTTGTGTAACGGACTGCTATTCCAAAAAGTCGCGGGTTCGATTCCCGCTCAAGTCAAACATTTGTGTGCATAAACATTTAATGTTTGGTTTGGTCTGGGTGTTTCTATGTATAATAAGTATGTATTTACAAAAAAAAAGTATATATGTATTTATATCAGTTGTCTAGTACCCATAGTACAAGCTCTGCTTAGTTTGGGACTAGACGGCGTTGTGTGAATGTGGTACAATATTATTATATTATTATTATTATATGGTAATACATAAAAAAATAGTTTAACAAAACACCTGTAGAAGCAACGATGTGCGCTTTTCACTGAGTGAGTGAGATTACCGGGTCCTGAGCCCAAAGCCTTACTGACCCTGATTCTGGGGGAAAGCTTAATGGAAGGCAATTCACTTGGGACTCTTGGGTCGCCTGATTTTGAATGACTACCGCCGCCCCTATACACCTTCAACTCAATAGTCAGATATGCATTGCCGACTTCTCGGTACCCGGGATTAGGAGCTCCAGTTACCTTACTGACTCCGTGAAAAACAACGAAAAAAACTGCTTAACACCGGTTTTCTGTGAGGTGATCTCACTCCGGTCAAGCTGTCCCACTTATGCTGAAGCATGGCTCTTACACGATAGATAGCAGATATTATTTATTATTATACGAATAAATACTAATAATTATATAAATCAGAATGATTGATATTTTGATTTTTAGATTGACACAAACCTTATACCCTGCCAGCTCAGTCTGGCCAGCGTGGTATGATAGTAGGCCAAAACTCCTTTCTAAGGACAGGCCTATGACCAGCAGAGGACTATCAAAGGCTGTTGATGTGATGTGATATTTTAGAAGGTTACGTACTGATGACACGCCGACCGTGTTATATAATATTATTTAAAGTAAATCACATTATAGTAAATCGTCTACAAATTAATAACTTCATCCACAAAAGTTGTAACAAGACTAAAATCGACATCACATGCATCGGTCATATTATCGCAGCTGAACATATGTGAAACTCTAAACTGCTGATAAGAAATGGAAACAATTCTATAGTTAATTATTCACTGTACCTGAAGATTATGTAATACATTTCTTGATTCTTCTTAAGTAATTTACATTTATGAGATTTCTCAGAACCTCGAAAATGTCGTGTTATAGACCTAGCAGGATCAGAAAGGCGACATGAGACACCGTAAACTTTATGGAATTCGTGGTGGTAACTATGTGGCGTCTTTAATAGCTTACTGACCGTGAAACTACTGCAGGGAAAAGATCGATATGCAATTCATTAAAAACATTCAACGCTTAAGTAATTTGACCCTTTTTTGGTGATGTGGTTCAAAATCTTTTCCTTTTCGGCTCTTTGGGGATCTAGGAGCCAAGATATAGCGATGTTTCTACTAAAAACCCTACTCTGTGGAGGCCCGGACCATGTAATTAAAGTCGGTAATTAACATTAATTTTTAGGTAGGTATAGTTTTGACAGATAAGATAAGTAATTAAAAATAATAATATTGATGATTGGAAATACATTTTTTTTTTTAAAAAGAACTGCGCTAGGAAATATGTCCTGTGTTTTGGGGGACTTGACAACCATAGATGAAACGGCCACAAAGAACACACAGGCTCAGAACCACAATTTGTGAATCACACAAAGTGTTGTCCTATGTGGGGATCGAATCCACAGCACTCAGCGCTCAGTAGGAAGCGGCGAGATGACCGCTTAAACCACAACGTCATCCGTGCATTCTACTTATTCCAATCTATCTGAACTACTCATTGGTGTTTAATCCTTACTCAATTCTATGATTATCTCATAAATCCGCCCAGAGCTGCATAACATGTTGCCCAGTTCTCATATCCTTATTTCACTTTTCTGATAAGAAATAGTCAATAGCACGGAGTCAGGTTAATAACCCGTTGATCGTTAATACTCGCCCCCACTTACGACTACGTAAATAAATGGCAATCGAATTCTTTCAGACGTTAGTAAGAAAAGAAAGACATATGTATTCACAAATAGGTAGGTATGTTTATCAGGGCGCCGTACGTTAGAGCGATCTGCTCAAACAATTGTTTCGTACGCAATTCGCTCTAATTGTTTTTAATATTCTGTGTGACATCACCGTGACATCGAACTGATGATATCATTGCCATTAATCAGCGTTTGTTACACAATACACTTTTACCTATCATGTACTTTTCATTTCATTAGCAAAAAATACTTATCATATAAAAATGACACAGAAATGAATTTTACGACGGTTTTGTACCATCTTGCCGCTTTAACTAGTTTGTTAGCCAATGATCTTTCGTTAGGAAGGTAGATTACAGCAGATTGGCTATCTTAGTTCACTAACAAATTGTATTTTTTTCTTTCTATGCCGAACTAGTTCGCCGTAATTAACCAGAAAGAAAATCCTAACAGCGCTATTAGTTGAAAACCCATAGAGTTAATTTTATCCCTAGTAAAAGTCGTTCATATCTGTGGAAAGTAAATATAATATGAAATACGCCTCGATTATTTGTTTAAACATTGTCGGTTATCTAGAAATCGTTCTAATAGCCTATTTCCTTACTACCTATTATCTGTGTCAATAGGCCCCCGATACGACCAGTTCAGCGATAAGCTGTGTTCATATAAGTTAAAGTTGGACTATAAGTACACGTATAAGCTATCACTAAAATAGGAAAACAAAATCTACGTTCAAAGCATTCTGTGAGTGAGTGTGAGTTGTCCGGTTTGAAGTTAGCGGCGAATGGAATTGGCGTGAAGATGTTTGTTACACAATACCTGTATAAGCAATATCCGCACCGTTTTAGTATTGCTACTCCAATATTCCCAACTTCAATTCGCATGTTCCAAGTTGTCTGCAATAAGCTGGTGCCCATTACGTGAGTGGCATCATGGTTCTTGAAATGTAGGTCTCCAACATCCCTTATCCATCTCTATTGGAATATATTAATAATAACTTTACAGATCTCACACACGGTAGTCTGGTCCCAAACTAGGCAGAGCCTGCTGATAAACTTACTTATATATTTCTAAATACACATCACACAATATTTGTCCTGGGTGAAATTCAACCCCCACGACCTCCGGCTTAGCAGTCAGGGCCACTAACCACTAGATCAACAGACCCAATATATATTAGTACTAGTATATCTAATTTAACTTATGTAACACTAATATCAAAGCCAATGTACTTCTACTGTAATGAGAAAATAAACATTATTATCATTATTACTATCAAAAACATTTATTTCACTGATCCGTCACGTACATAAAACTTAAAACAATCAGTAATAATACCCTTGACCTTATAATTCAATTTTCAAATATGTGCTAGAAATATACGAGTATACTGCTCGGCCCTCAGAGAATCAAGCACGATGTTCCACCTATTAGCCCATCAAACAGTCTATCCACACTTGGTATGCAACAATGATGTCTATTTAGGACGGCCATAGAGACCAACACAATGATATACAGGCTGTATTATAATCAATCAGAAATACAATTTAAGAACCCTACTCTACATTTTTAAAATGATCTTATATTGAGTAGTTTAAATTGAAAATACATATTGAACTATGCAAACATATATATTTTGACTTATTATTATTCAGAAGGGAAAAAAATCTTATCCATTTTCCAACCTTTAGAAGATTGCAACTGAAATAACCTTATATTTAATTGAGCGTCTAGACTCTTTAAAAATGTTTCAGACTACAGCAATATCTATTTCCTATGGTCACAAATACTTTAATATATATGTTCATCATCATAATCAGCCTATCGCAGTCCACTGCTGTTCAAACATATTAAGTACACATTCACAATCAGACTTGAGCCGATTCGTACGCTATCTGTATCTTAGGGTAATTAAAGCATTGATATTAATTAACCAACATTTATATAACAACACTGACTAATTAATTATTTGCATATTCAAATACAAGCAATAAACAGGAACGAATCATTTCTTAAGACTCATGTAAATACATTTGAAACGAACACAAAGAACACTCAGGCTCAGAACAACAAATTGTGGATCACACAAAGTGTTACCTCAGGTGGGGATCGAACCCACAACACTCAGCGCAGTAAAAACTACGCCATCCGTTTATTATAAATCGTTATAACATTTGAAGTACTTAAAACATCTTACCATTAAACAGGAAAACTATTTAGTATTATTTTTTTAACTTAGACACTTATGTGCTAAATTAATTTATTCATAAAGAAATTTATTGCAATGCAATTAAAATATTTACAACATTTACAGTATTTACATACAATCATCAAAAAATTCCTAAGCATCATCTCCTACTAATAGCGTTCCCAGAAGACTAGCGGCGTTGTAATGCTAATTCTCTGTGCTAGAAAAAGGCCGGCCTTCTGATCACGAGAAGTGTTAAAATAAACATTGATTTTTTGACTTTTGCATTCGAGTTATAATATTATATCGAATGCAAAAGTTTTATGTCACCAGTACTGTAGGCAACATGCAAGAAAATAAAAAAAAAACACAGTAAAACATTGCTTCTAAAACTAATGAAATCAAAACTACGATGACACCATAAGCCAATATCATCATCACTATCAAAACACAAGTTGTCACTTTTAAAAGGGCTTAAAATGTTTTGCTTTTCCGTAAACGATAGATAATGGTTCTTGACATGGTATGTGTTAATTTTGTGAAACCATTATCGTTAAAATGGAAGTGGATTAGTCGATATCATTAGAGATTCAGTAGCTTATTCTAATAATGTACCTACCAAGTCTATCGTATGTACCGATGCTAAGTATATTTGGACAGATTTATCGATTTCACTCAATACTATCTTATGTTATCAGGTGTGTTTGGAATTTGTTGATATCGTACTTAGAGTATTTTTTTATTTTATATACAGATATCACATGGATAGTTTTTTTCTTTTAATAAAATTATAGTAAAACTAATATGCCCAAATACCATTTATGTTTGTCTTTCTAACGACCATTTTATCTAAGAACACGTATAAGTATATACAGGTATCTATAGAAATTAAAAAAATAAATGTCTGTCTGTGATGTAATTTTACTTAACTTAATGCAATACAAAAAAAGTATATATAGGCCAAAACCTCTTTTGTAAGGAGAGGCCTATGTCCAGCAGTGGACTATTAAAGGCTGTTGATGATGATGAAGAATGGACCGATTTTCACAAGCAGATAGCTGGTATGAAAGATAAAATTATTAATATTATCTCGCACTTATACAAATAACAAAAAACAAATATATTGAAATAATGGGTATATTGACCCCAACGGGTGCAATGGGGTCATAAAAAATAATTACACTTAACAACACGCTGTAGATGCATTATGTCAATGCATATTATAAACTTCCCTAGCTCAATTGAGTTGAACAGATGTTTTCGCTCGCGACGCACCGTTGCCACCGCCTATTACGGAACGTGGCCAATACTGTTTAACAAAGTGATCGTACGTGTGCATTTGTGTTGTGAACATTTGTGACGAAAGTGACGAAAATCGTACATCAATTAAGGAATATTAGTGAAAGTTATGACACGTAACTTCAACACAATAGCGATCTTGTACAATATCATTTTCTATTTGTAACCGACTTCAAAAAGAAGAATTAGGTTCTCAATTCTGTTCATTAATTAACAGGTTTGAGAAAAAAGTTTTTTCATTCCAAATCCAAATCGAAGAAAAAAATGCACCCCTAAAAGTTAAAATTAAATAACGAAGAATACAGTTCGTTACATTAATTAAAGGGTCATTGAAGTTGAATGTTGGCTCGATTTCTTCTCATAAGACTTAACCGGAAACTGGCGGTTATAGATAGATAGACATAGGCAGACACGCATTATCTATTTTCATTGTTTTATATAAAACTAGCTTTTACCACCCTCCCTCCTATCGCGTGTATCTCGGTTGCTGAGGTAAAAAGTAGCCTATATCTTCAAGAATCAAGGTATCTACAACGCCAATTTTCATTAAAATCAGTTCAGCGGTTATTGATTTCTCTTTTCAGCCCCTTAAAGGATGATTTCTGTGAGAAAAACTATCCTACGTCCTTACCCGTTACTCAAACTATCGCTATACCAAATTTCATCTAAATCGGTTCAGCGGTTTAAGCGTAAAGAGGTAACTGATAGACAGACAGACACTTTGGCATTTAATATTGGTATTAATTTACTTGTCAAAGCTACCTCTAGCAATTTTAATTGTAATAATGTTAAAAAAATACAAATTGGACGACAAAAGGGACCTAATGTATAATTTAAAGTAATGATATACTTACATAATTATATTGTCTGTTTGTGGTTGGTCACTACACCAACCTTTCTTAACTGTCAAAGACTAACATAATCAATCTCTCTCTATCGCAGTAGTTAAATCGGCTGTCATTCGTATTTTTAAACTTTCCATACATGTTTCAGAGTCAAAAAACTAAGATAAACACACACCAATAAGACTACAGTCTTATTCTTGTCTCGATACCATAAAGTTTGTGGTGTTCTATGGTATATAACTAACTATCATACAGTTAACTTTTTTTTAATTTTGAAAACTCACCAAATTGCTTATTGGTAACTAAAACTACATAGTTTTACACAAAGCCCGTTTCCGGAAACTCGTGTGTCTGTAACCTAAAACAGAAACTTCAAAGAAGTTTGCCAGACTTTGTTTGACCCCCCCCCCCCCCCTCTTATCAAAATCCCTCTTATCAATATCAAGATCAGTATCTTCGACCTGCATTTTATTATATTTATCAAAATACTCGTAGTATTTAGCGTCAGATTTTCCGAAACCGAAGTTGTCTTCGTAATAAGTCTAATATCTCATTTAAAACGGTTAGGTACAATCTGTCTACAGTTTAACTCACTCATAAATATTAATTTTACATGGGTATCAAACCTACACCATTCAAATCAGTGTCAGTTGAAGTTATTAAGCAACTTGGAAATTCCTAAATTCGTCTGATTAATAAACCAGACGTAAACTCCAGAGGTTAGGGCGTGAGAAATAACACAAAGATCCAGAACGGTGGCCGTTAGGGCTAAAACAGATGTTGCCATGTAATAAAAAAAGATTTGTCATATACTATGATAAATATCGTTCTATTCACACATAACTTTATCCATTGTCATCTGAGAAGCGATAAAGCAGCCATGAAATTCGGTTCGGTATTCTATTGAATTGATTATAATAGTGTCAATGACAGACAATTGGTAACCAATGATAATTTATTGTCACCATTATGATGATAATAGAGACAGGAGCGAGTGAAAGGTGCTATGTTTGCTAAGAGCATCGCAATGAAAATGAATTCAAATATAGGGCAGATTAGATAGATATAGAGATTTAAAATACAGGATTGTTTTTCTTCTTATGTGTAACTAGTTCTACCTAATGGTTTAAGATGTATGACTTAGAAGAAAGTAATTTATCCTGTTAGAAAATACTACGAGTATTCACGCTGATGCATATTTACAAGATAATAGTTACTTTTGTTCAAAGATTTCGATTTTTATTTACTATATTTGTATATGCATACTTGTATATATGCCTAATTGTAGTCATTAAGCGTGCTCCCAGTTACTTAATTGGTACCCAACAATAGAAATAAAATATTGGAGTTTTTTCTCAAAAATCTCACATTGCAGTTTGTCCCAAGCTAGGCAGAGCCTGTACTAAAGAAACCAAAGTTGCTTATAATCATACTTATATATATTTTTTAAAACATACATATTATAGATAAATTAAACCCAGACACAGAAGAAATGATCGTGCTCATCACACAATAATTTGTCCTGGGTGGGAATCGAACCCACGGCCTCTGCCTTGGCAGTCAGAATCAGTAACCACTAGAACAACAGGCCCATCATATATATTATTGAGAGTAAATTAAATTACATTTTAAGAAATCATCGCCTGATATTTTGTGGCGACATTTTGTTTTGAACTTTTATCTAGGTACACATTGTTTTATACTTCTTAATAAATGATTGTGCAGTATACCGTGTATTACTTCTAGAATGCAGAAGTTGCTGTATTTCTTCCTATTTCTTTCCCTCCATGTATTTTAAATCTCGATTGAGGAAGTTCATAGCTTAGCATTTTTTGTGCATTTTCAAGGTTCCTGAATCGTGCTTGTTAGTTTTAGGGGTCATTTTTTTATATATTTTTTTATATATTTTGTTGCCGTTAGAGGTTATTTCAACCATTACTGCAGAACCAATGAGTTATGTATTTGCAGACGCGAACGAGCGAAAATCATTATAAATCTTAATAGATGAGCGAAAAATCGAAAGTTTTTGTGTCTTCTTACATCTCAAATGTTAAATTGTGTATTATGAGTGCGTTTTTATAACTGGAACTTGTAAAGTGCTAGTGTCTAAAAATGTCTAAAACTAATCCTAAGGATCGCAAGTGTTCGCTATTATGTTGGTAAGTGTGTCAGCCTCTGACATCTAACTAAAAGTTTACAAACGAGAACAAGCTTTAATTTTATAAAAAGATTTGATTTTGATTTGTGGTTAAAAAGGCTGATGTACGGTGTAATATACACCTAAATGCACTGAATGGAATATGAAATTTTCATACTTTCATAAATTTCCTGATAATGTCATGATACACCTGCAAATAGATCGATATATTTTTGGTGCTGATAAATCTACATAAATAAACTTTAAACACTCTGAAATTAATTAAATGTACATATATTTATAGACAAATGAACTACAAAAAATTTCATACCCCCATTATTGCTACTATTTTTGTGTAAAGAAAATTAAAAACTCCCTTCTATATTTATGTATCGTTATTAACCCCTCTATTCCCCCATATCTCTCCTGCACAGCTGTTTAGACATAACTTGTTAAAGATATACATTTCCAAAACCGCTTTACGGAAGCGTTGACTATCTGAAAACTAATTTTAACATGTCCGAACTGTCTTAAGATACGGCTGACATGTTGGATGTTGGTGTTAAATAAACATACATGTCTGTTTTTGTTACAGCTCCGGTCTTATGTCATCGTCCATCGAAGAGGTAAGTTTTTTACTTTTAAATTAATATTACAATTCTTAGTTTATGTTTTATGGATTATGGAATCCCTACAGCATAGGTAGCAGTTTTTTGTTTCATCCTTTAAGCAATTACGATTCTCGCTCTCCCGGCCATTGGCAAGGCAAGGAACACCGGGGTGGTTATTAGTCGGTAAGAGTCCGACAGACCCCTTCGCCGTCCCCAAATGGGCGAAGGATATCCATGAGGATCTTCCACCCCGTTAACAAAAAGAAAAGTTAGTAGATCCTTATGGGGAACACTTGCCAAAAGAGTTTTGGAACAGTACAAACGTAACAAAGACAGTCAAATATTGTCTTATGACAAGTGTCATAAGACAATAAAAGGATAAGGATATCCATTCCTTCTAAAACAAAATGTATCACATTTATCTTTTTAAAAATGTCATGAAAGTTGTTTTATTGTAAAAGGCAACACATACACTACACATATGTGTACATATGTGTAGTGTATGTGTTGCCTTTGTGTATGTGTTGTAGTGTATGTGTTCATAGACCCGAATTCAGTGTTGCCATATGGCAACACTGAATTCGGGTCTATGAAATGCACAAATAAGCGGAAGATACTTAAGAAACCAAGTTACAGTGTTTCAAATTCAGTCAGAAACTGCTGTTTCGTAAACAGAATTTCCACTTTTTACTCTCTCAAAGAACAATATAGACCACGCATTTAGCCTGGCCTTTTTTTTACGTGTGGAATCCCCCTCGGGCTGTCACCCAACTGGGGTGGTGTGTCGGAATCGGACCGACTAAAACCACACGGTGTGCCACTCTGAGCCTGTAATAGGAGGGTTCCGGGAACTGCTTTTATACATCCGGACCCCTCTCTAGCGCCTTTTTAGCCTGGCCTAGCCTAATATTCCAAAATATATTATGGGGCCACTGCATTTGTCATATACTTAATTAAACATTTGCTTCTGACATACAAATATATTCAGTGAAAGTATTTGTCAAATGAAAGTGGGTTCAGTAATGTCTGACTATTTGTTTGGTTCGTCATTTCACTGTTTGGTAAGTTAGTGGTTACATAAAGTATTTTATAAAGCAGTACATTGGTTCTAAATTATTGCCATTGTCTACCGTTTATAGATTTTACCTTCCCATAATCTTCAACATAAACACAAAGTCAAAATAACCTGGATTCTAATAAAAGGCTGAACAAAAGGATGACGCGTTCGTTAAATATGCTCTGTACTGCTGAACGAGAAGAATTTTGAATAGCTAACACTGTATAAATATCATTAGGTTTATGACCTGTTAAACGTTTGTTTTTCAACACATTTAGTCCATCATTTAATATGAAAGGCATTTTATTTTAAGAGCAACAAGAAAATGCTTCTTAAAAAAAGTTGAACCGACTTCAAACAGTACTAACGAAGAGCTCTAATCTAACGAACCTACCAGCAATCGTGGTTGATTTGCTGTTATTTTTTGAAGAGTTCCGTTGTCTGTCTTCGAAACTCATCATCAGATCTATATGAAATTTAAATGGACCATTTCGGAATAAACCCCTTTCGAACAAAAACTAATTTCTGAAATCCGTCTATATATGACTGAACCCGAACATACATTAAAAAAAACCCGGTCAAGTGCGAGTCGACCTCGTGCGCCGAGGGTTCCGTACCTGCCAATTATACCATTACCATATAATATTTTCTTTTTTTTCACACAATAGCTCAATTTTATTTATTTACCTTAATTGTATGAGCGCCCATACAACTCAGAGAACTAACGTATGTATGGGGACAGCCTTTAATTTTCAACTTTTTACATATTTTTGGATTGTTCCTTTCTTAATTCTAGGTCAACGGGCACTATCAGTATCAAAATAGTGTCTAAGAAATTTAATTTAACAAAAAAGGTGTTGGCTGATCGTTGGCAACACCCGCTATACTAGTTAAATCATCATCATCATCATCAGCCTTTAATAGTCCACTGCTGGACATAGGCCTCTCCTTAGAAAGGAGGTCTGGCCTACTACACTACGCTGGCCAGACGGGTTGGTATAGGGTTTGTGTCAAGTTTTCCTTCTTTTTGCAGTGCTAGTGACCTGCGTTGTTTTGCGCCCTTAGTCGGCTCTTACGACACCCACGGGATGAATTGGGGTAGTGACATTCCGTATTCTTAATCCGTCACTACTACACGGACTAGTTGAATGTCAAACAAATTAGTGTAATTTTTTAATGAAAAGAGTTTATTAACACAGGACGAGTGACTTAATAAGTATAATTGTGTCAAAATAATAATAAACATAAATTACATGCACTGTCATACGATCGCAATATTGTAGGCAATTAAGAGTTATTCTTTAATTCTTTGTCGTATTTTTAAGAGGAAATATGGTGTGGCAACTGTTTATGTTTGCGGTAATTGAGTTTTTAGGATTGGCAATTATTGTTTTTAGGTTAATTTCAAAGAGAGTAAGTTAAATGGATGTTAAATTGAAATAAAATCGAGTAATTGGCGCCACTGCTGCATTCTAAAAGAATTTTTCGTCTCAAAATAGCGAGACACGTGTTCTGTGTCTGCGTAAATGGACCTGCCAAATATTACAATATACATCTGCTCTATTTTTGAACTACTTTTTTCCTACTTAAATTCTTAAACCATATTGTAATCGTACACATGATGGCGACCACCGTCACAGTGAGTCAATTCGACTAGTATAAAATAATATTCGTAGTCGCGTTCATTTTTAAATCCAACTTACCAAATATATGATCGACGGTTTTGTTAAAATGGATCTTAAGTTTATCAATCATTTGCCGATCATAAACAGATATTATTATAGATGTTATTGCAAAGGCATGTCACAAAATCGCTTAATGGATCATTTAGATTCTAAAATATTCTAGTAGTTCCATGATGAAACGTGACAGATTAAGGAATTGTATTCTGATTAAACATACTGTCTAAAAAAAAAAAACAAAATTACCGTGTGTAAGATCTAACTATATACAACGATTTCATTCATCAACAGCCTATAACAGTCCACTGCTGGACATAGGCCTCTCCTTAGAAAGGAGGTTTTGGCCTACTATACAACGCTGGCCAGACGGGTCGGTATAGGGTTTGTTTCAAGTTTTCCTTCTCTTTGAAGTGCTGAAGTTGTCCTGCGTAGTTTGCTCCCTTGGTTGGCTCTTACGACACCCACGGGATGAATAGGGGTGGTGACATTTCGTAGTCTTAATCCGTCACCACACGGATTAAGGCTACGCAAGGGTTAAGGCCCCATCATGTTCCATCCACCCTTAATTCTGGCGGGGCACTCAACGGTTGCTAACAGATTTGTGCTTTTTTAGTTGCAGGTGTTCAAGGTGATGGTAATCACTTACCATCAGGAGGTACGTCTTATCGTTTGCCCCATTTACCTAAGACAAATCTTCTAATATATTTTTATTAATCGGATGCATTTTGAATAACTCAAAAACATTTAAAAGCAGTGGACTACTGAAGGCTGATGATGATTATTTAAAAGAATATTCTTATTTAGAAATCAATATATAACAACTCAATATAACCAACCATATACGTATGCTTTAAGACAAGACAAACGACCATTTCCCTTACAAGAGAAGACAGGATGATCTAAATTAACGCTTCCTTCATTATGGCAACGTAACAAAAATAATGCATGCTTTGATGTATAAATATAGATGGAAAAGGGTAGGCAGATATGTAATAACATCTTCCCGAAACGAATGACTTTGTTAAGTGATACTTTTTAAACTGATTAATAAATCTTTTAGTAAGTTGGATACATAACTCAAAGCAACAATGGCTTTGAAGACAGGTTGTAAGCCGAAAACCGACGGTAAAAAATAAAATGGCTGAGGCCTGATCTTTCACCATTGCCGTTAGACGACCCGTGTGCCCGTTTTCCCCCTGTAATATAAAAAAGTTAATTATATATTTGCTTAGCAATTATTATCGGAAATCACAATTTTGTACATACTAAGATTCCAAATTCAAGATTTGTTATCATAACTGATTGGCATATTATATCACTCCATTGATGATTAATTAATAATTTATAATGATAACTAATTTAGTTAATACGTCATTGATAAGTAATATTGTAAACCGGCCAACGTTATAAGGGGGTAAAAATGTTTCCGTCGACTCTGCATTTGGTATTAATCATTTGTACATTATACTAGACTTCACCTGTAGCTAGGCTACAGTAAGTTATTTGG